TGCACAGTCCTTGCTTCTGTCAAGGTCACTGGTATGTCTTAAGGATCTTCAGTGGCCATCACAAGGCATGCTTCTAAAACATGCAGATGGCTATCCTGCTGGCATCTCTCCCCACCTGGCCCATGCAATCTTGGGGTGGGGTACTGGGGGGGTGAACAGAGTGCAGCTGTGCTCTCACATATGTGAGTTTTATTTTAGAGCAAGGTAAAATGTGGGCCTCATCTCCCTAGTTCTGTGACAGTCATATGAGATCAAAGTAACAAGTAACAACTTTCTCCATGCCCAAAGCTCCAGAACCCTTGGGCTCTGGCCACCAACAGTCTCAAGGATGGTTTCCCTTCCAAAGATTCCCAACACCAGCATGTGCCCTGCTAGGTATTCCACTTCCTAAGTCAGCAACCTCAAAGGGACAAGGAGGGCTATGATAGCCTGTCCACAGCAGCTTTCCCTAAGGGGAGATGGGGTCTTTGGGGAGCACCAGGCAGCAAAGGTGCTCCTACCAGCCTCAACCTGAGAATGCCACACACTTTGAGCAGGCACTTGGAAGGATTCCCAGGCTCAGACCCCAATGGAGCCCCTCCCCTTTCTCACTTGTCCCCACAGTCACCTGAAAAGGCCTTGCAGCCATGTAGGCAAGCCAGAGCCACATTTCCAAGGAATAGGAGTGGGCAGGCAGGGCAGATGTAAGCAATTACCAGCGGGAAAGCCTGGAGGTGGGGGCTGGGAGGGGCCGGCAGGGAAGAGAGAGCCCTGACCTGCCCCACTGAAAAGGATGAGGAGCCCAACTCAAGAGGCTGCAGCGCTCAGGGATAGACATAAGTTCAGGCAGCAGAGGGGAGGCCTGGGTTTGTAAGTTCCATCTTTGACACTAAATCACCCTGACCTTGAGCAAACCAGTCTTTCTTTTCCAATCACCAATGGGACCGGTAGGACAGGCTCCAGGTTGGAAACACAGAGAGAATGGGGCTGAAAAGCTCAGGCTTTGGAAACAGGTCTCAGTACCAGCTTTGCTGGTTATGAGCTGTAGGTACTCGGTAGAGTTTTCATTTTCCAAGCTTCTGTTTCTTCCTTTACAAATGGGTTTATGAAGAAGGTTGCATGAGGCTCACATGAAGTGATGCAAATAAATTATATCGTGCTGGGTTTTTTATTTAATTTTTTTTGCACAAATGTGTATGATATTGTATATGTTCATGCTTGTGCAACTGTGGACACACACCACATGTAGAGGTCAGAGGACAACCTTCCACTTTGAGACAGGGTCTCTGTTGTTCACCACCACATATGCCAGACTAGCTAACCCTCAAACTTCCAGGGAATTCTGACTCCACCTTCCATCTCACCATACAAGCACTGGGATTATAGACACATACTACTGAGTGTCAGTTTTCAGGAGTCCTAGTCCTGGGGATTCAAACTCAGGTCCTCATACTTGAATAGCAAATATTTTGTTCACTTTATTTTTTGAGTCAGGGGCTATACATGTAGCCCAGGCTGGCCTCAAGCTTGCTTTATAATCAAGGCTGTTCTTGAACTCCTGATCCTCCTTGCCTTCACCTCTTAAATATTGGGATTACAGGGGTAAAGCACCAAGCCTGACTCTTAGTCCCTTTTTCATTATGTTTTTTATTATGCTGCAAGACATAGGTCGTGTTGCTACTATATAAGCTGCCAGCTAGAAGAGGTTAGAGCCCAAAGCAGAAACACTATGTGTACTAACCCAGCATCCTCCAAACTTGGTCCCCGTACACTGCAATATGCCTCCTTTCAAAGAGAAAAGCAAGATCGGTGTCCCTAACTCTAGCACAGGCCTGAATTAAGGAGGAAAAAAAAAATCATCCTTCAGTCCCAGCTACTCCTGGGCTTCCTCACACTCGAGGCCCAGGAGGGAAACTAAGGGTCTAGTCAGACCAGTGCCTCACCTCAGTCTGAGCAGCAACATCTTCCTCCCTGCCAGCCTGAGCAGACCCCAATCACATCGGCCTTCTGCACAGATGCTTTAGGGGTTGGGTGGGCAGAGTTGGAGCTGTAGCCAGCCACTGCTCTCCCAACTCTAGGCAAAGCACCAGCCTGGGCTAAGGAAAGACCTGCACTTCTGGACACCCACACACCCACACCTTCCTCACCCTAAAAGCAACAACCTACCATAACCCCTCGGTTCTGGCCTGTTTGGTCACCCCTTGCCATTGCTCCCACTTAAATCCACATGAGACCACTGCCTTCACCTACATCAGTCAGACATACCTCAGGAGTGTAGAAGGAGTCAGGGGGGACTTGCCCCCACTTGGCGGGGGTGCATGAATACTCACACAAAGTTGTTGGAGCTCCTCTGGGAAAGACTGATAAGGATAGTGTGGGATGACTCTGGCCATGTCCTGGCCATTTCCTTGTGGAAACCAAAAACTTTCTGTCAAGGCCAGGGATCTTTAGGAGGAAGGAAGATGCTGACGGCCAGAGGAACAAGAAGCAGGAGCTAAGCCACTCAGGGCATCAGCTCACTGCACAGAAGTGACTAACTCAGCCCTGTGGGATTGAGCAGCTGGGACCCGAGCAGGTGGAACAAGCGTGGGGCCCCACTCTTCCCACCAGCCCTGCCCTCTGATGTCCAAAGTCTGTCTCCCAGTGGTTGCAGGACTACCTAGATTGAAATCTGTAGCCTTAGCCTTCAGGCCGTCATAGGCCCCAGGATCCCTGTCTATACCTTCAGGCTCCTTCCTTTCCATGGCTCCCTCCCTCAAGACTGGGACCTGGAATGTGGTAGCTTGCAACTGCTTGGTATCATCTGAGGTAGAATAGTGTCTTCCCTCCAACGCTGTATAATGCAAACCTAGAGCCACTATGACAAGAACAGTTCCCAACTCCACTGGGAAACCCTGAAGCAGCGACTGAGACCAGAAGTCTGGGGGCCTACAAAGCAAGCCATCGGGGTGTAGGCCAACCCAATGGATTAATTGCAGAGCGGCCAAGACTCAAGTTGGTAGGCAGAAGTGGGGCTGGTCTCTGCTCTTCCCTGCCTAGGGAAGAAGGGAGGTCCTTCCCAGGATCTCTAACAATTCCAGAAAGGGGCAGATTCTTGGTTTTACCCGGAAAATGAAATCCTACAAGTCTAAAAGAGCTGAGAGGGTAGAGGGGCCAAGGCACTCTTGTGGGTGAGTCACTGCTTCAGGGAAGGGCGCAAGGGAAGGAAGACAGCCCAAAAAGCACCAGGGGCTGCCTCAGCCTAGGCCTGCCACTCCTAGTGAAATGGGGGCTTCCTCTTGAGCAACAACTTACTCCCAAGATAAAGATGCCCTCTCCCAAAGGCATTGGGAAATTGAGACAGGGTCTTATGCAGTCTAGGTTTGTCTCAAACTTGCTATGAAGCAGAAAATGACCTTGAACTGACTACCTACCAACAGCTGGGATCCCACCTTCTGCATGCTGGGATTACAGGCATGCACTACCTCACAAAGTTTAGGCAGTTGCTAGGGATCAAACCCAGGGCTTTGTGAATGCTAAGCAAGCAGTCTACCAACTGAGCTTCATCCCTAACTTGTCTCTTAGTTGTATTTTTTTTTTCTTTTACTATAATACTGGGATTGCAAGTGCTCTACCACTGAGACACACCCCCAGCTCCTAATTTACTTTTATAACTCTGTCTACATCCCTCTCTTTACCTCACTGTCACCTTTAAATCCTGGAGGGTTGGCCCCAATTCCTGTCTCTCCTTTGACTTCTTAGTGGAGCCCAGGGCCACTAAACAGCCTGAGATGTCTCACCCCATGCAACAGGACAGGACATGAAGGAGAGATCAGAGTAGGGTCAACAGCAGTGCAGGAAACAGGTTAGAGGAAGCTGGGTCACCCCAGCATGCTGGGAGGGTATTGGCAGGTCAGTTCTCAAAAGAGCAAAACATCTATCTCCATAGTTATTTTCTAGGCCCTAAGCAACTGTCACCTCCCAGGTACCCCCTCTAGAATTACAGGACTGCTTTGGAGAGTAAGCATATCTAAGTATTTCCAATAGCAAACACACCGCCGCTCTTCTCTGTGCACTTTTGAAAGTACGTAATACAGATGAACTCATTTAAAACCTCATATAGAGGCCTGGAGGGGCCAAGTGGGGTCTATAGAACTGATCCTGCACAGTGGTGTAAGTTCCTGACCCTTGTGACAAACAACCTACCCTGTAGCTGAGGTCAGACAGGGCATTGCGGTGCACTGGAACACTACCTACAGCCTGAGCCTCCAGGCAGCAGCCTCCTATGCCTGGCTCTGGGAATCTAGCCTGGGGATCCTAAGAAGCAGTGATCAGGACTCATAGCCAAGACAAGTCTGCCCCTCGAACTGGGAAAGGAGGGGCAGTGCTGACAGACACATTGGCAGCTTTGGGCTGCCCAGAGGTCCCGGCCAACAGGGTCCCCAGAGAGTCACCCAGGGCAGACAGTAACGGGTTCTGATTCATGGCTCTGGTCCAACCTACTCTGTCCCATTCCTTCCCACAGTCCACCATCCAGCCAACTTTGAGGCACAGCTGTCTAGGCCCAAAGACCCCCACTTCACGGTGGGTCCCGCCAGCCTCCAGGTGGCAATTCCACCTTTGGGTTCTACTTAGCGACCTTGCAACTCTGGCACACAGGCTGACCCTGCAAAGCTTGTCACCTCCAGCAAAGCCGGCCCACATGTCCCAGACTTTAAAGGACGCTGGACGTGAGGACACCTCCTCAAGCTGGCCAGGGCTGGGGGAGGAAGAAACTTTTCTGCGGACTGTCCCGTTAGCTCACTCCAAGAGAGCCCGACGACTCAGGCTTCCCGCGAAAATCTGGTCCAGGCAAAGGGACCCAGCAAAGCAGCTCCCTGGGCTGTGGCCGCCCCACACCGACCCAGAGCAACGTGGCGCCCACGTGCCGAGCCCGACCCCCTCCCCGAGCCGCGGCGGGAGACGGGGGCCAGGCAGCCCCGGAGCCCGGAGCTCCCCGCCCTCCGCCGCGGGCCCCTGGAGCCCGGCCGCCGCGTACTCACCCTCCCGGGTGGAGCGGGGCGGGGCGAGGCAGATCCGCGCGCAGCTCCGATCCGCTAGTTGCCCCGGCTGGAGGGGCACCGCTGGCGCAGCGGCTCCGCTCGGCCGGGTCCCTGTCCCGGGAGCAGGGCCGGCCGCCGAGCCGCCAAGTCCGCCTGCAGGGGCGGCGGGGGCCCGGGCCCGGGCGGGGGGCGGGGAAGGGGCCGGCCACGCTTGCGCACACCGCCCAGTCGACTCCTCCGGGCCGCGGGGAGAAGGGAGGGGAGCGCGAGCGGCGCGCGGGTGGAGGGAGGGGAGGGCGGGGGTGAGGGTGCTCCGGGACAGGAGGAGGAGGAGGAGGTGGAGGAGGAAGGAGGGAGGGAGGGAGGGAGGGCGGAGGCGAGGCGGGCGGGGCACGAGGTGGCGGCTGCTGGCGCTGGCTTGGCGTGGAGGCCTAGAGGGCGCCGCGAGAGGCGGGCAACGGCGTCGGGGTGAGGGAAGCCGGATGGGGTGAGAGCAGAGCCAGGGCAGGCACTGTCTGTCACTGGCGCCAGGTTGGTCTGCCCAGAGCTGCGTACCCACACCCTCCTGGGAACAATAAGACACAAGAATGGCTTCTCTGCTGTCGCCGCGCGGGGGACTCTGTTCTTCCCTCAGTGGGGAAACTGAGGCACAGGGGTGGGAGTCCATCCTTCGTGGGTTTCTCTGCCCCAGGCTGGAGTCGCCCCAAATTGTTCTCTCTGCACCCACCCTTGAATATCCTGTCTTAGCCTCTGATAACTTCTCAGTTTTGGTTCTTACGGAGGGCACCAGGCTTCCTGGATCCTGGGGAAGCCCCATCAAGCCTTTACCCTGTTCTTGAGCTCTGGAATTGCCCAATTTGAAAAACAGTGCAGAAGCTATCCCACCATCCCTTTCAGAGTCCCTTTCACAGGTTAGCACAGGGTCACTGAGTCCTTAACATGAACAGCCCAGGGTTAGGCAACCAGGCACTCCAAAGAAAGTGTCAGACCCAGTTGCTGTCCCCAGGAAGCTTACCATCCAGCTGCAGAGAAAAGGCTTACACACTGGACTCCCTTCAAGAATAAAGCAGTACAGGATGTGACTAAGTGCAAGAGACGAATAACTGACAGCACATGGGGTTCCAGTGAAGTGGCAACTTAAAAGTCATCTTCAGCAAAGCTGGAGGGCTCACCTGCTGGGAACCCCCAACTCAGCAAGTGCTGCTCTGTAGGAACAAAATGAAAAGAGTTGACCTGGTGACTGTTTCATCCTAAATCACACCTTGCACACCTTGCACCTTCAAGGGCTGTTTGGCACCTCACCAATGCCTAATTTTATTTGAGTAATTCATTGGGCATCATCAGTCACATTCATTCAACAAATATTTATTGCATATTATGTTTTGGTCTAGAACTAAGCTTGGAATAGAGAACACAAGGATTAGGACCCTGAGTTGGGCAAGCCAAAAGGAAGAAGGAAAATCCCTGTTTTGCCCAGAGAGAAACTGCCCTAGGCTACTTAGATGTCTGGCAAGCGGTTCCAAGAAGCAGCCCAGCCTCCAAACCTGGCTAAGTCCTTAACAAACAAAATCTAAAGACAAGTTTATAAATTTGTACTTCTTGCTAAGAACTCTGCAAACACCCTTTAGCCATAACATTGAACTTTAAAACCCAGATTTTTGGTCCTGGAGACGTGGGTTCCAACCTTGCCTCTGCCACTAAATAGCTTTCCTTTTGTTGCTAGAAAAAAAGATAACTGAGCTTATTCAAAGGGCTATTGTTAGCATTAAATGAGGCAATGGATGTGAACTTGTTCTGAAATCATAACATGCTACATGTAGCTGTGCTATTATTACACAGGTGGAAGATTGCCTCTTTGAACTTATAAAATTTATTCAGATCCACTGCCCACCCTCTTCCCTAGTTTATGGCAGTCTTGGTTCCCAGAAGATAATTATTATCACCTCCCCTTAGGTCACTGTGTGCTTATGATCTTTCCCCTCCATTTGATTTTCTTCCTTCTCTCTCTTTTTTTAAAAACAGCCTTACCACCAGGCATGGTGGTACGTGCCTTTAGTTCCAGCATTCAGGACGCAGAGGCAGGTGAATCTCTGGTGAGACTGAGGCCAGCCTAGTCTACATAGCAAGTGCCAGGCCAGCTGGGGCTAAAGGGACACCCTGTCTCAAAAAGACCAAAAAAAAAAAAAGGACAGTCTTACTAAATAGTTCAGGCTGGGTAGCTCAGGCTGGCCTCAAATTATCCTCTTGCTTCAGCCTTCTGAATGCCAGGATTACAAGTGTGCCAGCCACCATACCAGACTTCCCCTCCAGTTTCTTTCCTTTTTCTTTTTGTTTTTGGTCTTTTTAGCCCCAGCCAGCCTAGAACTCACTGTATAGACTAGGCTGGCCTCTATCTCACAGAGATCCACCTGCCTCTGCCTCCCCAGTGCTGGTACTAAAGGCCTATATCACTATGGCCTGGCAGCCCCTCCAGTTTCTTAACAGTACATCTAGAAACTGAGCTGGTGGCCGAAAGCTGTGTTTGTGGAACAGAGGAAAGCAATCCTGACACTCTTTATACTAGGCCCTGGGCTTCAGAGCCCTTCCCAACTCCATTGCACCCTTCAACAGGACAATACAAGCTGTGCACTAAGAGGCAGGGTGATAGGGGGCTTGCCCTGAGGGTACTGTCCTCAGGTTAGTTGCACTGAGATAGGCCAGGACAACATCAAGAACAGGTGTGAGTCCTGCTCTGCTTGCAAGCAGTACCACCTAGGTTTCCATCCCCTGCCTCCCCTTTACCTCTCCTGCTTCTGAGGTGAAAGCAGTGGTGAAAGCCGTGGCAGGACACCTGTCTGCTGGGGCAGCCAGAGGAGCAGAAGGAGCAGAAGGAGGAGACAGAGGAGGGAGGGGTGTGGGAGGGGGCAGGTGCATCTGGGCCTGGAGAGGGCTCAGGGCTCCTCCCTGACAGGCAGTGGGTGTGGGCAGCAGCCCTGGAGCCGCCTGACAAATGTGCCTCCCAGACTTCTGGCTCTTGTCCCTCACATGTGCCACGTTAACATCCTGCCCACCAGAAGGAGGGAACAGCAAGATGCCGGTTGAGGAAGAAATAGACGCAATACCAGCATCTCAGATGCTTTTAAAAATAGCAACCCCAGGATGGTATTTCAGGGCCTATTTTTATCAGATTTATATGGCTGGACCGTGGAGTTGAGCTGTTCCCAGGGATCTCAATAGCAGGGGACATCTCTATTGTAGTATTAGAAAGCTGCCAGTAGGCCAAGGCTAAAATGCATTCCAGGAACCTTTAGGCTGGAAGAGATCCCAAGAAGTCACTGCACATAGCCCCACCTCTCTTTAGGACCACAATCAATTAACCACAGTGTGTGGTGCCTTTTTTAAAAATCTTAGCTGAGTATAGTGGCACATGCCTGTAATCACAGCACTAAGAAGGCTGAGGTGGAAGGAGTATAATGAGCACTAGGCCTGCCTGGTCTACAGAGTGAGTCCCTGTCTCATAAACCACTGGGTATGCTGGCACTTGCCTGTAACCCCAACACTTGTGAGGTAGAGACAAGAGAATCAGGAGTTCAGGTCATCTTTGGCAACATAACTGACTTGAGACCAGCCTGGGCTACATGAAACTCTGTGTCAAAGCCAACCAGCCAACCAAACAAACAAAAAGCCTCTCTAGATTACCATGCCACTATGTAATCTAGACTGGATTTTCAGGTCAGTAAATCTAATTTTTTTTTAATTGTGTTTAATGTGCGTGTGTGTGTGTGTTATGTGTTTGTGTATACCATCAGAGGACAGATGTGGGCCTCTGTTCTCTCCTTCTACTGTGTGTATACCGAGATTCAGTGCAGGTTATTGGGTTTCACACCAAGTCCCTTTACCTGCTGAGCATCTTGCTGGACCAGGAATGTTTTTTTTTTTCAATATTTATTTATTTTTATTCTATGTGTATGTGTTATTGCCTGCATATAAAGTGTGTATTGCCTGCCTGTAAAGTGCACCTGTGTCGTGCAATGCCCTCGGAGGACAGAAGAGGCCATCGGATCCCTTAGAACTGGAGTTACGGACAGTTGTTAGCTGCCATGTGGGCGCTGGGAACAGAACCTGGGTCCTCTGCAAAAGTAGCCAGTGCTCTTAACCACTGAGCCATCTCTACAGCCCTGTTTTTGTTTTGTTTTTTGAATCAGGGTCTCACTTTGTAGCTCAGACCAACCTCAAACTCACAATCCCCCTGCTTCAGCCTTCCAAGAAGCCTCCTGGCTTTCTTGGAGTTCTTTTAATATGACACTAATCCCATCGAGGGCTCTGTTGTCATGACCTAATCACCCCCCAGGGGCCCTGCCCCTAACACTGTCACCTGGGGTGTTAGGATGTTAACATATAAATTTTCAGAGGCTATAGCAAGTACCTAGCCCCAAATGTCTTTCTTAAGTTCAATCTCATAGCAGAAAAATAGCTAACATTTACTAAGTAATAGAACTATGTTCAAAAATCCTTTTATTTAATCCTTACAAACCCCTCTAAAGTAGGGATGATTGTCAGCCCTACTTCATGAGCAATATGTAAGTTGCTCCTGATTATACTTGGCCATGCTGGGACCATCAACTCTGCTTCCCAGGCACCAGAGGAACAGAACATTAAAATTACCCTTTAGGGCTGGGGCCATAGCTCACTTAATAAAGTGCTTTGATCCAGGGAACCTATGTAAAAAGTGTGAGCCATGGTGGCACATAGCTGTAATGCCAAATTATTGATAAGTTCTAAGACAGTGAAAGATGCTGTCTCAAGAAAGAGGAAAGAAAAGGAAAGAGAAAGGGAAGGAAAAGAAAAGTTAAAAAGAAAACAGTGGACAGTCAGCACCTGAGGAATGACACCCAAGGTTGTCCTCTGGTCCACACACATACCAATACATATGCATGTTCTCTGTCTCTCTCTCTCTTACATACACATTAATTAAAATTACCCTTTATCCTTAGTTGTCCTCCTGCTGTGGCAAGCACTCCACCACTGAGCCACACTCCTAGCCCATCATTTCTTCAATGTGGTTCTGAAGGAAAATCAACTAGTTTCCTCATTATCTGTGTATGCCCTGTGCTGGATGCTTGGCTGTGTCCCAGCCAC